TTTTTGCATCCCATATTGGACACCTATCACACTAAAGTAGCACATTGGATGCTTATCAGGGGCAATGATCACCCTTAAACTAATATGAACTATCCAGATTTAATCTGGAAGGTCCGACTTAATATGAAAACTACTTTTATTTTTATTTTTTTTAAATAAAAATTTATAAATTTTCTAATAAATATATTATTATTAGTCAGATCAGTCTAAATTTAATATTAATTTTTTTATATTTTTTATAAATTGATGATACATATTTACTCTGATCTATTTTCAATCTAACAGTATAATAAATTAAAAATTTTGAATCTGAATAATACAAATTATATCTATATGATCAATTTATAAAAATTATAAAAAAATTAACATTAAATTTAAACTAATATGATTAAATATGAAAAATACATTTTAATAATAAATATATTTATTAAAAATTTATAAATTTTTATTTAAAAATAAAAAAATAATTTAACCTGAACCGTCAAGATAAAAATTGAATGTGCTCCCATCATACTAAGGAGGCTGGTTATTCTGTTCACGGATTGAGGTGACACGTCACGTGTTAAAAAGTCAGATTTGTCTTTGGATTCGGCGGAAAAAAAGATTTCTTGCTTTGGACCATTTTTTGGGCCAAAAATTCCTTAGATTGAGAAACAAATTTTTGTCCGGACAAGGCGTGAAGAAGGCACGTAACGGCCATAAATTGATTTAAATTGTTCTGCAATACGGATACAGGATGTTAATTAATTTTAAATGGAATAATAACATTTAAGTCTTCAAAATCAAATTCATGACAATTGACACACTAATTATTTTTTTAAAAAATTACATTTTAATTTTGTCCTTTGAATCATATTTATAATTTATTTTTTTAAAAATTATCCAAGTCAAATTATTATTATTATTATTTTAAAAAAACCAACTACCGTTTTCTGTTGAGATAAAGAAAAGAAAAATCCCCCAACTCCATTCCTTTCGCATTTGCAGCGCTCTTGCTTGCATCTTCACCCAACCGGCCTTCCAAGAAGTTTCTTTTATTTCTTTCCAATCTTCTTTTCTTTTGTTTGTTTGTTTGTTTGTTTGTTTTTTTTTTTTTGATAACAAATGAAACCAAAAAACCAGCTAGCCAATACAACTAGAGGTATTCTTACAATCCTTAGCCACAATGTGAGCAAGATCTTCAGGAATCTGCAGCACTTGGTGGAAGCCAAGCAACGCTTCTAATCCACATTTTGCAAGCCGATCGACAGCTCCCTTAATCCTTCTCAATACATGCCGCATCCGAGTCTCCCAGCCACGATGAACCAGCAAACGAGCTTCCTCAATGACCTCGTATTCCAGATGAGTTGGGTCACACCCTTTCTGCATATAGTCAATAGCCTCCTTGGAGTCATATTCCAGCTCAATCTTAAAATAGCCCAGGTCCCATGCCAGCTTTAATGCATGAATGTAAGCACATAATTTCGTAGAAAGAGCATCCCCGTTATCAAGCCTACATATGAACCCTCGAATGAAGTTTCCATCGGATTCTCTAATCAGTCCGCCACATGCGTTGGTGTTTGATGCTTGAGCAAACGCACCATCTATATTCACTTTAACCCAGCCATGATTAGGAGTGATCCATCTATTTATTTCAAACACACTTGGACCCAAGAGGTGTTTACCAGATTCAACCATGCTCCTAACCATAGCTCTCGAACTCAGAATAATAGACTCATTATTAAGACGCTTCTGTTCAAAAACAACTTCGTTTCGCCTCCGCCAAGTCCACCAACAGATAATGGTAAAGAGACTATTCCACTCATTTCCTTCAACAGTACTAGCCCGAGATATATTCCACTTGATCCACGCATTCAAGTCTTGTCGAAAGAACTAATTCCATTTATCAGAAGGGATAATGGACGACCAGAGATTTTGAGTGACAGGGCAATCCCTCAGCACATGTATTGCGTCCTCCACCCCTTCCTTGCAGATTGAGCACATATCATTATCAATTAAACCACGCCTCCTTCTATTTGCATTAGTAAGGAGACGACCATGTGAGACAATCCACAGGAACATATGGCATCTTTGTGGGACCTTCAGTTTCCAAATACGCTCCCAAAGTTTGGTGTGTGGGCATGAGAGGTGTACTCATATGCCGATTTCACAGAGAACGTGCCATGCTTTTCCCACCTCCATCTAACCTTTCTACCTTCATTCACCATTTCCAATTCATTCACCACCTTCTCCCATATGTCCTTGATTCCTGCCCAAACATTAGACCCTCTTATCTTTCGATTGATTTTGGGCAATAAATCCTCCCCACATTTGTACTTGTTTCGAATCACACAAACCCGTAGAGCATCCCTTCTCTTGATAAGATTCTAGCCCAGTTTCATAAGGAAGGATTGATTTTGTGAGTGAGCATGTCTCAATCCTAACCCGCCTTTGCTCTTAGGTCTACCAATAACATCCCATGCAACAAGGGGAATTCTCCTCTAGTTTCCATCACTCCCCCAATGAAAACTGCGATTACACTGATCAAGATGCTCACAAGTGTTAATAGGAAGAGAAGAATATTGCATTATGTGACTTGGTATAGCAGAAGTAACCGAAGATAAAAGAGTGGCCCCACCTGCCGAAGATAAAGAATTAACTTTCCAAGATGAAAGACTTCGTTTAACTTTATCAACCACCTCCTCAAAAATATCATTCTTCACTCGAGAATGAAGTAAAGGAACCCTAAGGTACTTCCCGAGATTAGCAGTTTGCATGAATCCCAAGATCGAATTAATCTCACGGCTTCTATTATGATTAACATTGTGAGAGTAGAAAACTCTAGTCTTGTCTGAATTGACTTTCAATCCCGAACTATAATAGAAGCATTTAATAGTCTGCATGACAATCTCCGCCTGATGCAAAGAAGCTTCGGCAAAAATAATAATATCATCAGCAAAAAATAAATGAGATATAAGGAAACCTGTCTTAGTAAGTTGAATTGGTCTCCAATCCCCAAAATTAATACGCATTTGAATCAAATAGGCAAGCTTCTCTCTACATATGACAAACAAGTAAGGAGAGATAAGATTTCCTTGACGAACCCCATGAGTTGAGCTAAAAGAGTCAGCACAGTCCCCATTCCAAAGTTGCATACTCACAGTAGAAACACCATTATAAATCAGATCAACAATTTTACTAGGTAACTTGAGCTCGTTTAGGAAATTCAAAAGAAAACCCCAATTGACTCTATTGTAGGCTTTCTCTAGGTCAATCTTAACAGCCATGAAGCCATTCTTCCCTTTCATAGTTCACATGGAATGAATTACTTCTTGAGCTATAATAATATTATCCATACTATGTCTCCCCAGCATAAAATTGTACTGGTTAGGAGAAATAATCCCGAGCAAAATAACCTTGATGCGATTAGCAATCACCTTAGCCACTGCCTTATAGATCACATTACAAAGACTAATAGGCCTAAGATGCTTGATCGTCTCCTGTGGATCCTCCTTAGGAATCAGAACAATCAAGGTCTTATTAATACTATGAACCAAGCGGGGGTTCCAAAAAATATATTGAATAAATTACACAACACATTTACCTACAGTAGGCCATTGATTCTGGAAGAAAAGCACATTCAAACCATTTGGTCCCGACGATTTGAGGGCTCCCATACTAAAAATAGCCTCTTTAATTTCTTCCTCAGGGGAAACTCGTCTACACCTTATAAGGAAGTCATCATCAAGAACTGGGAAGTAAACATCACATACTACAGCTTCATGATTTACCTCCTCCTTTGTAAAGAGTTTGGCGAAGAAATTAGTAGCTAGTTATTTAATCTCCTCGGTATCATTAATCCAAACCCCTTGCTCATCACAAATAGACTCAATTCTATTAGTTTTCCTCCTCCCATTGGCACGAGAGTGGAAATGCCGAGTGTTTCTGTCTCCATAAATAGACCATTCCATCTTAGCTTTCTGAGCCCAAATCAGTGAGTCTTGAATCAGCATGTCTTCTAGTTCCTTCCAAAGCTGGAGTTGAAGCTCCTCAAACTTATCAAGATTTTCACCCTTACCAATCGCTCTAGTCACCCCTTCAAGGCGTCGCAAAATATGTTTCTTGCGAACTTCAGTGTGACAAAACGTATGCCTATTCGGCTATTCCATTTCAAACAAGCAGCCGTAAATGCTGTAACTTTATCATTCCACTCCAGCTGAGTTGTCCATTCTTTTTTAACGAATTCAGAAAACTTTTCATGAAGAAACCAGGACGCTATGAAGCGAAATGGTCGATCTTTACCTATCCTTTGAGAAGTATTTCCTAAGTTAAGCAAAAGAGGTCTATGATTAGACTTGAAGCACGTAAGATGTTTCACGCTAGCATCAGGAAACATTAAAAGCCAGTGTTCGTTACATATAACACAATCAAGGCGAGCTTCTGACGTACCTTGCTTTCATGTAAACTGCAGCCCTTTATATCCTAGATCATGCATGTCATTATCATCGTACCACGAGGCAAATTCTCTATCTATCGCCATCCTGTGCAGAGCGCCAGACCGTCGTTCACATCCACATAGCGTTGCATTAAAATCTCGACCAATTGCCCATGCTGTAGATACAGTGTTCTAGAGACGAGAGAGCTCCATCCACAGTGTTCGTCGAAGCACCACGTTTGGGCTGGCGTACACAATGGTGAGAAACCATTGAACACCCCTACTCGACTCCACTCCTAGATGCATGAACTGAGCATTCCGATCGAGAATTCTCACCTTTTGCTCAAGACCATTCCACAAACTCTAGATTGCACCATTATATCCAGCAGGGTCAATCACTAATAAGTTCTGGAAACCTAAAGTCTCAATCCTCTTAGCTGTCTTCGTGCTGTCACATCTCGTTTCTAACAGAGCCATGAAGTCAAGCTTATACCATTTCTTCAATTCTTGAACCAGTGAGGGGAAGCTCTCAGCTCCAGTGCCTCTCGAGTTCTAAATTAAACAATTCATAAAAAAACCTGTGGGCGTCGGTGAAGATTATCGTCCTCCACCACGACCATATCCTTTCTAGGAACTGCCACTTCACCACTCACCTTTGAGTCATTCACGTGAACCTTCTCTACTGCCATAGACGTGACTTTTTCTGGTGTCGAATCATCCTAACTCCCTACCAAATCCATGCTCATCTCAGCATCTTCCTTAATCCTCTCCAATGTAGAACTGTCATCGTGAAGAGTATAGAACGTGTTGCTAGTGAATGGTGGTTGCATGGGCTGTCAAATCATACCTTCTCTTAATTCTCAACCTATAATCACGTGTGTTTTCCTTTCCCTAAGCCTTTGGCCTAATTTTCACTTTTCGTTTTGACCCAACAGGGACCCATTCGGATCTTTTATTCTTGATCTCCTTCCCAAACAATCTTGTGGGCTGCTCGCTTGGGCTTGATTCACCTTGATTATTAATTCTTTGAATATTCCCTCCACGTGCAGCATTAGATCCTCCGGTCACTGATTTTCCACCTGAATTCAACCTATGTTGACGCGTAGAACGATCCGTTCGCTGATCCTTCGGCTCCAATCTTCTCCTATATCTCGAGATATCCTCTCCCTTAATGACTCTCCCAAAATCCTGCTGTGTGAGATTCCACGGACCTAACCCACTGCTGTTTGTACTCTGATAATCGGAATTAGGCTGCTCCACCACTTCCATCGTATGCTCAGCCACGTTTTCCATTGATCTATTTTTGTTAGCCAGTTCACCCTCCTTCTCACCCATCATGTCATTCTCAAAATTTGTATGATTCTATTCCAAAGAATAGTGTCCCCTCATGTGTCCATAGAGACCATATTGAAAGCAAACCAACTGCAATCCTTTGTAAACAATGCTGCAGTCTTCCCCAAACGCATAAAAGAAAGGCAACAGAGGTTTCTGTATAGGTCAATTTCCACACATATCCTGGCAAAGCCACCTTTATCGTAGATGGACGTTGACCAATCAACCTTAATGGTCTTGCCTATCATATTTCCAATCCTCCTTAACGATTCTACATTATAGAACTCAACAAGGATATCCGAAATCCTCACCCAGGCAACGATATGGCGTTGAAGGTCTGCTTTCCAAGGATTAAAATTTGGTCTCCACCTTTGGACCCGCAAATAATGATCATCAATCATCCAAGGCCCTTCTTAAAACGAAAAATCTCTATCTTCCTTATTAGCAAACAAGACAATGAAATAACCATTGTTCAAAAGAATAATCTTCGTATGTCCTTGTGGTTTCCACATCCTTTTCACTCCACCTTCAATCACCCTCTTTGGTTGGTATGCCCCTAGGAGCTTGATAATCAGAGAATTCATCCAAGGTTTGCACCATGAGGCATATTCATCCTCGATGAATCTCAAGGTAGGGTACTTAGACTGTTCGCCAATGAAACCCTCCTCTTCCTCATCCAATTCAGACTGCTTCTTAGCCATTTCTTCTTTAGCATTCATCTTTCTACAATACGATTTCCAACCATTCACTATATCATCTTCTTCATCATGTTTCATGAAAAATCCAGTCTCATTCACAGAAACCAACTTGTCTCTATACGATGGCGGAATAACCCTTTTTCGAGGAACTTTTGGTTCTTCAGCAAACATCTTCTCGCTTGCGCACACATTTTCACACAGCTTGCCACTCCCCCTTCCTAAACTCGACGATCCAAAGACAAAAGTACCCCCAATCGGGTCTGGAGCCAGGCCTTTGTCCCTTTCTCTCCCACCCCTCTCTCCCTCTCACGCCCTTTCCGACCTCCGTCCCGACATTCATCTCCACACTCTCTCCCAGAGCACCCACACCCAGTCATCTCTTCCATGCTACATTTAGAAACTCCAAAATAAATGGACTAGATTTTTAAATCCCAGCAATATGCAAACGAAGCTCCCACATTATCTCATTTTCTCATACCTGAGCTGTCTTTCTCGCCTCTCACAGTGCCGCTATGGGAATGAAAATGACGCCCCTTCCAATCTTTTTTTTCTTTTACTGTCAGTTTACTTAAACCCGTTTGCAGCATAACCTCTGGCATTCACACTCAAAATGAAATTCGCCCAAATTACCACCAAAATAAATTTCAAACACTGACGAATTAACAGAGAAAAATAAACTTCTATTTCATTCACATCACAAAACCACACTCATCAAAGCACAAGTTAATTTACAGGAACACTTTTGCTTTACTAGAACAGACGCTAATATTTTCTTTTAAGACGAAAACTCAGATGAACACAAACCCATAATGAAAGCATAGAATTGTCATCCCTTCTGCTCAACCAGAAATCTCAATCGCCTTAACGTCAAGTTTCTTAACTTCTTGCTTGGGAACAGTGACAGTAAGGACCCCATTCTCCATGGAAGCCTTCACTTGATCCATCTTGGCATTCTCCGGCAACCAGAATCTCCTCAAGAACTTGCCGCTGCTACGCTCCACGCGGTGCCACTTGTCGTTCTTGTCTTCTTTCTCCACGTTCCTCTCTCCGCTGATCTGAAGCACCCTGTCGTCTTCGATCTCAACCTTGACCTCCTCCTTCTTCAGCCCTGGAAGATCGGCCTTGAACACGTGTGCTTCCGGCGTCTCCTTCCAGTCAATCCTAGTTCCGACGAATGCAGAATTTTCCCGAGAAAAAGTTGAAAGAGCAGAGGTGGAGGGAAAGTCCTTGAAGGGATCCCAGACGTCGAGAGAGAAGGGATCGAAAACGTTGCTCCTTCGGCCGCCAAAGAAACTTGGGATCAACGACATCTTCTAATCGTGGAGCTTCAAAATTGGAAGCGAGAGCAGAAAGTGCGCTGCTGGTATTGTTGCTTAATCACGAAGAGGGTAATTGAATGATAGTGTTTCGCTGACGAAGAATGAGGGGATACATCGGGTATTTCAATGCAGAGGAGGGAGAAACCTCGTACTTTCGAGCTCACTCTGATATTTTCCAGAACGGCCTAGTCTTTTCGCGCCGAATTGACGATGGAAGGGTCCAGATACCAGATTTTAAGTTTAGAACTACAGGGGCATATTTATTTTCTGTTTTCTCAATTTCTGACCAAAAAAATAAATAGATTAAGGGCTATTGATTTTTTATCTTTAAAAATAAATTTTTATTTTTGAAATAAAAAAATTTTAAATTTTATTTGAAAAATTTTTTTATTTAATTATTTTTAAATTTTTTATTTTTTATTTTTTAAGAAAATAAAAACAACTTTATCTTGTTTTGGTTTTATTTTTAATTTTTAAAATACACTATATTTAATTATTAAAAATTATATTTATTTGAATTAATTTTTATTATAAATTATTACAATTAATTGCATATAATTATTATTATCAGTTTATTTTTTAATTTTAAAATTATTTTTAATTAACATCATTCAATGAATTTTCATTTCATTTTATTTTAAAAATAATTTTAAAAATTATATTATAAATAATTTTTAAAAAATTTTTTTTCATTTCATTTTATTTTAAAAAATTTTTTTTATTTAATTATTTTAAATTTTTTATTTTATTTTTTAAGAAAATAAAAACAACTTTATCTTGTTTTGGTTTTATTTTTAATTTTTAAAATACACTATATTTAATTATTAAAAATTATATTTTTGAATTAATTTTTATTATAAATTATTACAATTAATTGCATATAATTATTATTATCAGTTTATTTTTTAATTTTAAAATTATTTTTAATTAACATCATTCAATGAATTTTCATTTCATTTTATTTTAAAAATAATTTTAAAAATTATATTATAAAATAATTTTTAAAAAAATAAGAATAAAAATCAAACATGTCCTAATT